CCGGTGTAGTGCAAAGGAAAATACATACAGACTCGAATCGTTTAAGAGATTGAATGAAGAGGATAGATTCCTGAAAGTTGAGTGGGACGAACACAAGGAAGCCTTCAACCTTTCGTTTACTGGATTTAAAACAGACCTTGGCACAAGTGAGTAATCTGTTCACTTACTGACTTAATCCTTTAGGCTCCTAGTGGAGCAAAGGGCGTCATGCAACAATGCTCCGCCTGCGGACTCTGTTTGGTGCTTTCTTCTCAGATGTGATCCAGATGATGTGGGCCATTTTCATCTCTTCTTCAGTCGACCCTCTCTATGTCTTAACAAGTTTTCTCCAACTCGTTAATAATTCCTCAAGTTAAAAGAAAGAAATCAGGCACAACCTTGCAGGACGGTTGAATACCCAATCTTTATTAGCTTAGATTTTGACGATTTTACTTCTCCGTTTACTCCTTAGTTTTTGTTTCGATTGAGAAGATATATCAAACACTCGAGACAGTGTTTCATCGGCTATTCAAACACCTCGAATATCGTCAAAAATACTCCGTTACGCGTCGTGTTTTCAACTCTCTTCTCGGTGTTGGAATATCCCCGTGAAACACTGTCTCTAGTATTTTTTACAAATCATATTCACCTTTCTTTTGCCTTGCTTAGTCGTGTCAGTGGTTCGCTCTCGCAGTGTCTGGCCCATACAAGACCATTGTTCACTTAACAGAAAGTTACTTCTGGTTCTAGAGTGTCAGCACGTGAAAGCCTTTTCAGGGAGAGATAAAAGAAGGAGGAAAAACGCTTCCTCCTTTGCTTTCCTGCGTATTTCCCGCTGTTGCGGTCACTAAACTGTTTGTCCTTCTGTCTATCTGTCTGTCCGTCTGTATTTATGTCTGCCGGCCTGTCTTTCTGTCTGTCCCTCTGTCTCTCTGTCTCTCTCTGTCTCTCTGTCTCTCTGTCTCTCTGTCTCTCTGTCTCTCTGTCTCTCTGTCAAGTTTATAACTCTGTCCTGTTCGATCTCCCAATCCCCATCTCCGTCTATAGGTATACTTCAGTCTGTGTCTTTCTGTCTTTGTCTGTACAGATGTCCTCGTTTAGGTGTAGGTCTGTGTGTATATTTTTGTCGGTGTCTTTTTCTTTTTATGTATATGCCCATGCTAATGCGTCATTTTTATGAATAGCCTTCATCTTCAAACATGATGATTCAGTGATCACGCCGTTCACGATACATCCCGCTGGAAGGCCCAACAATATCCTGGCTGTTGAAGACGGAAGCTTAGTTGTGAAGGTAAGCATGTTGTTGACTCCATTGCTACAGATTTTAAATTATTACGATCTTACTGAAGCAAATTGTTATTGGTGTTTTTCATCAATATAAAACAGTGTAATTTTTTTCTCAACACAAAAATGGTGAACAACGTCAGAATTAGTTCCTGACATTTTGGGTCTATCATGCCGTTCCGCGTCAGACTGATCGGCAAAACAGTATTCAACGAAATAACAGAACTTAGCTTGCGTCCACCACGTCAATGTAGGTCAGATTGGGACAACAGCAAGTATACAAGTTTAAGCTGCCTCAAGATTCATTACAAATAACAGTGTAAATTTTAGATGTGTTTGTAGTCAAATGTACTCTGAGGCTGAGTTATTTTAACACCATTTTCCGCGAAAGGCCTTTTCCTTAGTGGTCTCAACGACTTGTTTACATTTTGGCTTATGTTCAAGAAGCGTTGTTTCACCTGTAATTTGATTTGGTAGTCAACGTGGGGGTTCTTCATATCAATGCACGTGAACTTAGGTTCTTTAACGGGAAACTATATAGGTTCGTGTTCGAAGTAGGTTCCATGCGGGCATGAGCACCAGTTTAACCAAGGGCTTTTGATATGAACTCAGACTTCAAAGTTTAGCATGTTGTCCGGGTTATTGTCAAGACCTTGAACTCGGTTGCGGGATCAGGTACAAATATCAGCCAGTACACATATTCAAGATTGCCCGGGTTTTCTAGAGTCAAGTTCTCAAAACGGTGGAAGTTACATATCAATCACGAAAGACCGTGTTTGACCACATTTCCAAACACCGAGAAGAGAGTTGAAAATACGACGCGCAGCGGAGTATTTTTGACCAACTTCGACTTGTTTGGGAATGTGGTCAAACACTGTGTTGAGTATTTGACTTCTCAATTGAAACTAAAACTAAGGAGAAAACGGAGAAATGAAATCGAAAAAATCTATGCTAATTAAGATCAGATATCCAAACATCGCCACGGTCATGATTTTCTTTGTTTAAACTTGATGAATTATTAATGAGTTTGAGAACATCTAATTAAAAATGCAGAGGGAATGAACAATGACACATCCGTAGACTGACTGTTAGCCCACTGTTTCCAGTTCGAGTTTCAATTAAGAATTGGCTTTTTTACCAGATGTTCGAAAGAGTACGTAGATGTGTACATCAGTATGAATGGCCGGCAGAACCTTGAGGATGAATGAGCACAACACATCCATTGTTAACGCAACTTGTTTGTGATCATAATCTCCACGCTTATGACCGTTCGCTTTGCTCTTAATTTGCAGTCAACGTCAAATGTCACAATGAGCCCAAATATGAACAAATACAAATTTGTGATGAAGACATTAATTCTTCGTTACTCCGAAGGCGGAAAGATGAAAGAACCGAATTACCACGTGATTCGGTCCCAGGCAATTCCTTTCAAGAACCTGATCAAAAGTACTAAGACTGGGAAGGTCTCCTTGACTTCCAATTGGAAAGACTGTGGAGCCTGGATTGGACTGCAGAGTGTATAAACTAAATCTAGTAAATAATTTTTTTAAGGTAATTGCCCACTGGAATCTTCACTGAAGTTCAACCATTGTTTACAGGTTCTAATGAAGAAATCGCAACAAATTTTACATTCATAAATTAATATAAACAAATTTGCTAACTTATTATTAGTGGATTTGCTGTACATAATTTTACGTGCTTTCACTTGCTGGAAACGCTTACTCCTGTTTTATAACCAAGTCCCCAGAAAACAAAGAATTGTTTAAGGCCAGTAAACCGGAGCAACCAAAAGCTTTTGATAACATGAATAACTAACTTTGGTTTGATTTTCTTCTCTGGTTTTCCTTACCCACCAACCTTTCCTCGTCATCACTTTTTAGCTAGAATGCATCCCAAGAATTACAAATTTAAGATTTAAAATCATGTTTACTGCATAAAAAGACATTCCTCCATACAAAAAAGGTTTCGCACAAAATAGCTATCACTGACGATAAACTGGTAAGTGCGACTTAATTATGTCACTGAATGTGTTCAAACGCTGCAATGAATCATTGCGTCGTATTCTTAGACAAGACACTTCCGTGTCAGGTAATGTCTCTCTCGCTCTCCTCCCTGCTGTATCAGAGTAAATAGCATCCTATCCAAAGGGGTGTGCAAGCTTCTAGTCATTCTTTCACGGTAACCGAAGAAAAGGGCCGGGCTAGCTGACCACCAGGTTTTGACCTTACCTTTTTAAGTCCAAACAGTTGTTAAGTTAAAAGAGGGTCGTACAGGGGTATTCTCGTGATGCCTGATTAGCTAATTTTATTTTCCGTGAAACGTGAATTTAGAAATTATATTCTTCGTGACTCGTGACCTGGAGGTTTTGCGTGACCCGTGAAGAACCTGGATTATTAGCCGATATTCGTGATTTTACTACTCTATTCTTCGTGATTTTGAGACGCGAGTCCTTCTTATGGTTAGAGCTTTAACTTAGCCATTCGCGATTTTGCTTTCTTCAAACACTGTTTCAAGTGTAAGAACAGGTTGTTAAAAAGAATACCGTACTTCCTTATTTTCGTGATTCGGGAAAATGAAATTTTTATATCCGTGATCCGTGATCCTCTATTTTTTCCGTTCGTGAACTGTGCCAGAGACCCCCCTGTACGACTCTCTTTAAACGAAGTGGTCACTTATCCTGCGCTAGCTTAATGCGGCCGTGACTAACTATGCACATTTGAAGACTATAAATAATGATTTATAATCCTTCAAGGAAACCCACGTTATTTTATAACAATAAGATCTGGTTGAAATATGGAGTAAGTTGAAAACAATTGAAATGCAACGTAATTTATGTGCTTTGCCTAAAGTACGTTTTAATGTTGTAATACTGAAGTCATTACCCGCGAGACTAAAACATACAACAAAGTTTGTAATCGACTGACTTTTGATATATTAATATATTTAGTGCATGTGCATCAAACGATATCCACATGCTTTATTTAAAATAAGTTTAAACCTGGCGAAAGATGTTGTAATCTGTAATTTCAAATTAAAGTGATTATTCTGTTTATGTGTCTTCAATATATTTTTTATCCGCAGTTCGATAAATGTACTGGAACCTGAAAAAACTGCGAGTCACATGTACACATTACTTGAGTGGTTTTCAATTTTGTGTCAAAAGGATATGAGCAAGTACTTTGGTTTTGGTTTTGCTACAGTTTGAGATTGGCTGAGAAGTCTAATTGGTTAGTAATTTGTTTGCTTTAGTTTTACGACACTCAATCGAAGACCGCTCTAAACAGTTATAATTACCTTAAGTAGAATTCCACTAGTATGCTAATGCAATTGCTGTAATCTGATTGACTGAACCATTGTACACTATACTACTATGCCACTGCACATACCACCATGTCACTGCACAGCTTTGTGGTGGCTTAGTGTAGCCGACAAAATTGCAACGTTTCCTCGTTCCCCGAAGTTTTGAATGAACATTTACAAACAATGGAATAATCAAATTCCTGAGAGGACTAATTGGAGGATATTTACGGTTTCTTGAATTAAAAAACCCCGCAAATTTTGAAAGAAACTTATAACTGCGCTTACATAACTGCAACTGTCAAACTGACAATTCAGTTCACGCGAATTCTCTAAAGCGTGAAGTTTTATACCAAGGCCAGATGGAAATAATTGGAATCATAATTTGAAGGAAATTTCAGTTACATGTAGAATTCTACTAAAAAAAATTAGATTATTCTCTCTCTATTTCTATGAGGCGATAGTTGATACGGCCTTCGGCTTCATCAACTATAACCTCATAGAAATCTCGAGCTCATAATCTAATTGTTAAATAGTTTTCTCACAGGGGAATGGTTGAAAGCTTACTAAACAAAAAGGTAACGACAGTAGAATAGGCTCAGTTCTTGTGCAATTGAAGTAAAGTTAAAGTTCAACAAGAGACAACGCTCTCTTGAGTTTAATTGTCCATGACCACATTACAGATCAATTTAGTTACGAACAAACACCCAATTACATAACTTACATGTATTCCTCAAAATATCTCCTTTCTGATATACGCTTAAATTGATTTCTTGTATTCCTATTTCACTTAGTTTGGAGCGCTTTAGCGAGCTGGATATGAATGTTGAAGATTTTCACGTTACTTAAATCCTGCATGCAGCTCAACAAGCGTTGCTGCTTAAAGGAACTTCGTCTAAGCTATTCTGCGGATTTTTAAAAACGTACGATCGTAAAACGTTTCTAAAATCCTCCTTGAACAAAGTGTACAAGAGAGGATTGAAAAGAGATGTGCTATACCTCAGGAAAAGGAGAGTGACATTTACGGCTTGCGGGAGATGCATTAGTAAATTCTCGTCCAAGATAATCGAGCTCAGAAAGTACGAGCACCAACCCAAAATAAAGGCCAGGATCATGGACCCGAGAATGATCACCGCGCGCTTTTGGCCCCGTTTTTGCCTGGCTCCCCTTGAGACTCTTACATGAGTCGCTTGCCGACGTATTCGTTTCAGTTGAACTCGCAAAATTAAGAATATGCGACTGTAGGCGACTGCAAGGAGTATTAAAGGAAGCACCACGAGTCCTACAAAGCAGCTGTAAATGTAGATCACGTCACTGTGTTGTTCGTTTGCAGTTTCAGGGGTGGACCCAAAACTAATCCAAATCAGCTGTATGAGCGATACAGCCAGAGAGAAGGTCCAAATAAAGACCATCGAGGCCGCCATTCTATTTTTGGTCACAATCCGGTAGTAATGCATGGGGTAAATGATCATGACATAGCGTTCAAATGTGACAATTAGAAGATGCAATATGGTCGAAATGGCGATAAAGCGTGATGCAAGATCCATGGCGATGCAGGAAGCAATTCCATCTGGCATGGGCGAAAGATTGCAGGCAAATATCAAAGGAATGGCTACAAGGCCTGATAAAAGATCGGACAGCGCTAGGCATGCCAAACATAAATTAGTTATTGTTCGCAGCTGCGTATTTTTGTATACCAATGCTATCACTAGCGAGTTGGCGGAGACGATGAGGCAGGAGAGAACACCCAGAAGAACGAGAGGAAGATGGTTCCCTTGTCCTGATGGGATCTCTTGCTTATTGCCGCTTTCATTTCCTGTTCTGTTCACAGTTTTGCTGGAGATGTTGAAACATACACTTGTGATGTTCATTGTTACTGTTGGATACTGCTCTTTGTCGGTAGAAGGTTATCAAACTTTTCAAAAGGGCTTTCTGCTGCACTCGACGGTGTGTCTCATAACATTGCCAATGCGGGCCAAACTAGTATTCTTTGAACTCAACCTTCTGATTTTGAAAAANTCTCTCTGTCTCTCTGTCTCTCTGTCTCTCTGTCTCTCTGTCAAGTTTATAACTCTGTCCTGTTCGATCTCCCAATCCCCATCTCCGTCTATAGGTATACTTCAGTCTGTGTCTTTCTGTCTTTGTCTGTACAGATGTCCTCGTTTAGGTGTAGGTCTGTGTGTATATTTTTGTCGGTGTCTTTTTCTTTTTATGTATATGCCCATGCTAATGCGTCATTTTTATGAATAGCCTTCATCTTCAAACATGATGATTCAGTGATCACGCCGTTCACGATACATCCCGCTGGAAGGCCCAACAATATCCTGGCTGTTGAAGACGGAAGCTTAGTTGTGAAGGTAAGCATGTTGTTGACTCCATTGCTACAGATTTTAAATTATTACGATCTTACTGAAGCAAATTGTTATTGGTGTTTTTCATCAATATAAAACAGTGTAATTTTTTTCTCAACACAAAAATGGTGAACAACGTCAGAATTAGTTCCTGACATTTTGGGTCTATCATGCCGTTCCGCGTCAGACTGATCGGCAAAACAGTATTCAACGAAATAACAGAACTTAGCTTGCGTCCACCACGTCAATGTAGGTCAGATTGGGACAACAGCAAGTATACAAGTTTAAGCTGCCTCAAGATTCATTACAAATAACAGTGTAAATTTTAGATGTGTTTGTAGTCAAATGTACTCTGAGGCTGAGTTATTTTAACACCATTTTCCGCGAAAGGCCTTTTCCTTAGTGGTCTCAACGACTTGTTTACATTTTGGCTTATGTTCAAGAAGCGTTGTTTCACCTGTAATTTGATTTGGTAGTCAACGTGGGGGTTCTTCATATCAATGCACGTGAACTTAGGTTCTTTAACGGGAAACTATATAGGTTCGTGTTCGAAGTAGGTTCCATGCGGGCATGAGCACCAGTTTAACCAAGGGCTTTTGATATGAACTCAGACTTCAAAGTTTAGCATGTTGTCCGGGTTATTGTCAAGACCTTGAACTCGGTTGCGGGATCAGGTACAAATATCAGCCAGTACACATATTCAAGATTGCCCGGGTTTTCTAGAGTCAAGTTCTCAAAACGGTGGAAGTTACATATCAATCACGAAAGACCGTGTTTGACCACATTTCCAAACACCGAGAAGAGAGTTGAAAATACGACGCGCAGCGGAGTATTTTTGACCAACTTCGACTTGTTTGGGAATGTGGTCAAACACTGTGTTGAGTATTTGACTTCTCAATTGAAACTAAAACTAAGGAGAAAACGGAGAAATGAAATCGAAAAAATCTATGCTAATTAAGATCAGATATCCAAACATCGCCACGGTCATGATTTTCTTTGTTTAAACTTGATGAATTATTAATGAGTTTGAGAACATCTAATTAAAAATGCAGAGGGAATGAACAATGACACATCCGTAGACTGACTGTTAGCCCACTGTTTCCAGTTCGAGTTTCAATTAAGAATTGGCTTTTTTACCAGATGTTCGAAAGAGTACGTAGATGTGTACATCAGTATGAATGGCCGGCAGAACCTTGAGGATGAATGAGCACAACACATCCATTGTTAACGCAACTTGTTTGTGATCATAATCTCCACGCTTATGACCGTTCGCTTTGCTCTTAATTTGCAGTCAACGTCAAATGTCACAATGAGCCCAAATATGAACAAATACAAATTTGTGATGAAGACATTAATTCTTCGTTACTCCGAAGGCGGAAAGATGAAAGAACCGAATTACCACGTGATTCGGTCCCAGGCAATTCCTTTCAAGAACCTGATCAAAAGTACTAAGACTGGGAAGGTCTCCTTGACTTCCAATTGGAAAGACTGTGGAGCCTGGATTGGACTGCAGAGTGTATAAACTAAATCTAGTAAATAATTTTTTTAAGGTAATTGCCCACTGGAATCTTCACTGAAGTTCAACCATTGTTTACAGGTTCTAATGAAGAAATCGCAACAAATTTTACATTCATAAATTAATATAAACAAATTTGCTAACTTATTATTAGTGGATTTGCTGTACATAATTTTACGTGCTTTCACTTGCTGGAAACGCTTACTCCTGTTTTATAACCAAGTCCCCAGAAAACAAAGAATTGTTTAAGGCCAGTAAACCGGAGCAACCAAAAGCTTTTGATAACATGAATAACTAACTTTGGTTTGATTTTCTTCTCTGGTTTTCCTTACCCACCAACCTTTCCTCGTCATCACTTTTTAGCTAGAATGCATCCCAAGAATTACAAATTTAAGATTTAAAATCATGTTTACTGCATAAAAAGACATTCCTCCATACAAAAAAGGTTTCGCACAAAATAGCTATCACTGACGATAAACTGGTAAGTGCGACTTAATTATGTCACTGAATGTGTTCAAACGCTGCAATGAATCATTGCGTCGTATTCTTAGACAAGACACTTCCGTGTCAGGTAATGTCTCTCTCGCTCTCCTCCCTGCTGTATCAGAGTAAATAGCATCCTATCCAAAGGGGTGTGCAAGCTTCTAGTCATTCTTTCACGGTAACCGAAGAAAAGGGCCGGGCTAGCTGACCTTACCTTTTTAAGTCCAAACAGTTGTTAAGTTCAAAGAGGGTCGTACAGGGGTATTCTCGTGATGCCTGATTAGCTAATTTTATTTTCCGTGAAACGTGAATTTAGAAATTATATTCTTCGTGACTCGTGACCTGGAGGTTTTGCGTGACCCGTGAAGAACCTGGATTATTAGCCGATATTCGTGATTTTACTACTCTATTCTTCGTGATTTTGAGACGCGAGTCCTTCTTATGGTTAGAGCTTTAACTTAGCCATTCGCGATTTTGCTTTCTTCAAACACTGTTTCAAGTGTAAGAACAGGTTGTTAAAAAGAATACCGTACTTCCTTATTTTCGTGATTCGGGAAAATGAAATTTTTATATCCGTGATCCGTGATCCTCTATTTTTTCCGTTCGTGAACTGTGCCAGAGACCCCCCTGTACGACTCTCTTTAAACGAAGTGGTCACTTATCCTGCGCTAGCTTAATGCGGCCGTGACTAACTATGCACATTTGAAGACTATAAATAATGATTTATAATCCTTCAAGGAAACCCACGTTATTTTATAACAATAAGATCTGGTTGAAATATGGAGTAAGTTGAAAACAATTGAAATGCAACGTAATTTATGTACTTTGCCTAAAGTACGTTTTAATGTTGTAATACTGAAGTCATTACCCGCGAGACTAAAAAATACAACAAAGTTTTTAATAGACTGACTTTTGGTATATTAATATATTTAGTGCATATACATCAAACGATATCCACATGCTTTATTTAAAATTAGGTTAAACCTAGCGAAAGATGTTGTAATCTGTAATTTCAAATTAAAGTGATTATTCTCTTTAGATGTCTTCAATATATTTTTTATCCACAGTTCGATAAAGGTACTGGAACCTGAAAAAAAACTGCGAGTCACATGTACACATTACTTGTGCTCTAAACTTCAGCTTTTATGGACACAAACGATAGTTGATAGAGTGGTTTTGTGTCGAAAGTATATGAGCAAGTAGTTTGGTTTTGGTTTTACTACGCCAGGAGTACCCAACGACACTTTAACTGGAAATTTAATATGTGACTTCCCAAGCACTGATTCTGTGCTCCCACGTCAATTACCATTAATAAGCAACTTTACTGGGAAAAAAATATCCGCTCTTCACTGTTAGCAAGATCGACTTTATTTCATAAAACCCCCAGCCAGACATAATGAAAATTTTGAATACCGAGCTAGAAAAATGGCAATTAGCCAAGTAGCCAGCCAGCAGTAAAGGGTAACATTTTAATACCAACAAGGCAATTATAGGCGAAAAAACGTTCTGGCCAGCGTTTTGACCTAGATTAAAAACAACGCATTGTTTAGGACCTTTATTCAACAGCCTATTGTCTGTTGACTATTATTAGAGATAAATTAGCAAT